CTCAGCCTGTCCTCATAGGAGAGGTGCTCCAGCCCTCGGATCATTTTTGTGGCCCTCCTCTGGACCCGCTCCAACAGTTCCATGTCCCTCTTGTGCTGAGGGCTCCAGAGCTGGACGCAGTACTCCAGGTGCGGCCTCACCAGAGGAGAGTAGAGGGGCAGAATCACCTCCCTCGACCTGCTGGCCACTGCTTTTTTGCAAGGCACGGTACGACGCCACACAGCAAAGTCGCTGTAAGGAAGTCAGCACCCTGCTAGGAGGAGCGAAACACCAGTAGGCCCTCATGGATGTGGGGCGATGCATGACTTCTTTTTACCTGGAGCGTATGAGCACCATCCTGCAGCCCGGTTATCATCCTGCAGCCCGGTTATCGTCCGGCAGCCCGGTTATGGGGACTGCCAGCCGTGGGTTTGCTTTCAGACCCTCCTCCTTGACTAGTCTGCAAGTTGAACGCCGAGCTGCATCCCTTACAGACTATTCCCTTTCTCACACCATCAGCATTCGATAATTGTGTTCCGGCTCGAAAGCAGGGTAAGATTGCCCAGTCTGAGGCATTACCTCCTGCTTTTCTTTCCACAGTTTATTGTTTTAGAGGTTGAATTAATTAATTAGGTATTCCATCACTTTTCTCAAGCGCTGCTTTTTTTTTTTTCTTAGGCATACGCGTTCAACATCAATACACTCGTGCAGAATCAAGGTTTTGAACTGTTACTCTAAGGGGAAGAACGCCCTCCTGTATAGCACAGTACCAGTCTACCATGCCCATTAGATTTTCTTCCTAGCTTACAGCAGAACCCTGAATCAAAAACTTACTACAAAAATAAACACCATTATCACAATTAAAATCTATGCAAAAAGATAGCAAAAATGCAGATTTATTACATGGCTCCGTTACAAATGTATTTACTTCTTGCTCAGCCGAAAATAAACTGGAACGTACCATTGGCAGTCTAAATGATTAACACTACATTAAAAAACAGTTCAACCCAGCAATCACAAGCTACCAGTTTCAGTATCTGCAGGGATTTTTTTTCTAATGAAACCCCTCATTTTAAAAAGCCCTGAACCACTTGACGGGTATCATCACCGACAGAATCTGAACACCCGTGCCACGCCGCCGCCGCGCGGCTTTCCAGCGCAAAGGGAACCAGTCCCTCCTCCAGTGCTCGACGGCCCAGGCAGCTACGCATGTCCCCTTCTTCCGAGTGGCTATACGGCCCTTCTTCCTTAAAGCCTGGGGTCCAAGCCGCCGTGTTTGTAACATCACACCTATGTACAACCACGTCGCGTTATGGTGGAGCCCAGCACAGAGTCTAAAGCGGCCGCTGCCAGCGGTACCTGCTGCTTACGGTGGGACATGATGGAAGTTTGGCCCCCTCGGCGTTTACGTCACAGGAATTCAAACGTGTGATCTCACTCTTGTTTCTAGCAAATTTTAGTCTTTCTGAGTTCAACACGCCCTCGTGAACAGACATCTGGCAGAGGCACATCGAGAGCTGTGGAAGGAAGCACTGTTCTGTGAAAGGGCCAAGTCAAGAATCACGTGGGAATCTATGTGTAATGGCAGGTATGTAAACGCACCTATGCTCACGTGAAGCATGAAACACAAGCAGGAACCAGCAAATAAATACTGATGTTTAAACTAAAAAAAACCCCCACCACATCGACACGGGCTATGCTATCACATTTAGCATTCTAACAGCTACAGCTTGAAATAGCAACTTCAATTTAAGAAAAAAAATCTCACCTTTGCAAATTTACAGTTGCTTTAGATTGCTTTCAAAACAAAGTGAAGGATACCAAAAGTCAATTCCTTAAGAAGTTGTTACCATTTACTGTGATCATAGACAAGCCAACAGTGGATCAAACTGGACCTGAATGTTCTGTTTCCATAGGCAGAGATTTCACGTTTGGATGCTTTACCAGCCATATAAATTTAACTATCTGCAGAAAGCTCTCTTATTTGTCTCATCCCATTCCCTCACCAGCTACTGTAACTGATTCTCAAGGCAAATACCTGCCAATTTGCTCCAATGCCAGTCTTTTCATATCCTTGGTGCAGATGATGTACGAGAATGCCAGAGGTGAATCTGGGACCAGATTAGTTCAACTGCAAGCAGCAGTGAGATTTTCTTCATATCTGTGAGCCGATCACCTTAGTTACCCTTTAGGTTATTGAGGAGGAATACCTGCTTCAAGTACATGAGGCCTCACATCCTAAAGATGCTTTCTTTAGGAGATTAATCGTGTTTCAGATCACCTGTTTTTTTTCCCCTGGTGACTATACAGAGAGACTAGGATGAATAGCTCAGATGCAGGTATCTCAAGTATGAAGGAAACAAGTTCCCAGTGAACAGGCCCAATATTTTTAACAAAACACTCAAAAGTATTGAAGATTTTTATTTCTGAGCGCTCATAAAAACACCACGCCCCCCCACATCTCTAAAGTTTAAATCCCAAGTATGAAATTAAGTAACAGGAAAGTTCATGTACATGGCATTTGTCTAAACATGAGAGAAACATACAATTAAGGGAACTCCCTTGGAAGTTTTTGGTGAAAAGAGACTGTCACCCATAGCAGTCATTGTGAATATTTTCCTAACTCCATTCTGTGCATAGAATCATTCTCTATTTTTCTTCTCAGAAGTGTATTTGAACAAGCAATCTTTGAAAAAAAATGTATCCAGGTTTCTTAATTTCTCTACCAAATCAAGCAGACCAGCTGATAAGAAGGAAACTTTCATCTTCTGTAATTAGGAATGGTGGAACGGTAACGTGGGAAAAAAATCCAGCACGCTGGAAAGACAGACAATGTTTGCAACAGGTTATGTACAAACCCACTTTTTCTTCACCTTTTTCTCTTCTAGGTTGGGTGTTCTGCACTATTCCAGGAGTCAGTTATGAGGTACGAAAAAACAAGCAAAAGGTTAACATGATAACCATTTTAATGAAACTCACTGTATTATTTGCACTCTCAAAATATTTCTGAAAATAAAGTAAAAAAATATTTAGCATTCTTGAAAGTCTTAAGGAGTTTTTTTTTATTAAAAAAGCAGTCGTTGGTTGCTTCTTCTGAACCCAATCCTGCCTCGTCTTTACACTCGACTAAGTGTATCCTTCTTATTACCATCATACAAGTAATCACATTGAATTTCTATAGCACTGAAAATGATATAAAACAAATAAAGCCCCACAAAATATACACAGGTAGCCAGAAAAGTAATCAAGGAGAAATCATGTTGTCTGTACTGAAGAATAAATACCATTTTCAAATACCAACAAAACATCCAGTTTGTTGGCGTGTCTCTTCTGTCTAAGACTCTTCAGTAGAAGGCCAAACTGACTTCTGCAGAGGAATTCCTACAACCACTTTGGTTCATAATGACCCAGAGAGAGAATTCATACCCCATACATAATATTGAGCTAGTGGATTTCTGTAGAGCTAATATGGCGGGCAACAGGGAAAACTATACATGTGAACTTCATGATGAGAATAATAATTTAAACTCAGTATGTCATATTCCAAATATACAGAAAAGACCTGATTATATTAAACACGTTTATCTTCTGCTATAAGCTAGCTCATCCATCCAGATCCCAACTCTTTAATACCTCATGACTGAAGTAGCTAAGTCTTCTCTATATCTGATAAATAATAGGCTAAGTATGGAAAGCCTTAGAAGTCTGCTGTTTGTACTGAAGGGTGTACTTATTTCAGCATGTTTGAGATACAGAAGTTGGTACTGACTAAACTATGCTTGTTATGAGAAGATGACTAGCCATACTGGTGCAGCGTTCTGCTGGACCAGTACAGATACTTATCAAAAAGCATGTTTATATCCTGCAAATATATTCACAAACTAGTTTCTGAAAATTTTGTCCAGAAACCAGAAGAAATGGAAACAACTGCATCAACTCAGTAGCCTATATGAGCCTGCTGAGAAACAGGATATATTTAGCAGAATGGAGCACTGCCCTAGCACAAATACATGCCTCTGGTACCTCAACTAAAATCAGTATGGCAACATACTATGTAATGTAGGCATACTAATTAATCCAAAGCTGAATTTATGGACAGCACCACATTGCCACAGCCTTGCTGGCGAGATTTATAGTTAGTTTGGCAAGAATATTAGATTAAAGCAGCTGCGCTACTTGTAGTACCCAAACTAGCTTTGTCAACAGGGTGCTTTGGTAGCTCTGCAGTATTGCAACGTGCTCTGTAGACACACTTGGTTCCTGAAACAACTGTCAAGAGCAACTATCATTTCGAAGCAAATTTATGATGTAAAAGTAGCCTAGGTTCACAACATAGTGTAGATGTAGAATGGTTACGTGATGGTCAGATGGCAAGGTCACACGACGTCCTGTCCTACAGCAGGCATTCCCTCTATACTTTAAATGGTTCCACACATACGTGAGTTGTGTATGGAGGACACTACACTATCTCTATACAATAATCATTGGACAAATTAGGAAAGCTGCAAATACCACATTGATCGTTGTTTTCCTACGAGGGGGGACAGAGGGAAAGGATAAAGGAATATGAAAAGAGAGGTAAAGTTCCTCAGTTTTCACATCCAATAGCAATCTTCCAATTTTAAAAGAAAAAAAAACAACAAATAAATAGACACATGACTTCTTCCTGAAGCAAGAATGTAAATATTAGCACAAGACAAACACCTCTGGACAGCCAGAGTTTAAACGTGTATTAAAGCACAGCACATTTGGAAAAGTGACATTGTATCAATGTGTACCATCTCTGAATCGTTCCACATCAATGCGACCGGTTTATGCATTAACAGCTATGCTTATTTAACTGCCATTTCAGCAAAACCACAAGCCACAGGAGACAAAGGTGAATCTGAGTTCCTTCCAGTTAATATATCAACAGCCAAGGTCAGGTGCTCTGCCCAGTCACTTTTTTTTTTTTTTACAGCAATTCTCTCCTTATTCACCAGCCATACAGGAGCTGAAAGGTGTAATGTCCTTAACCAGAAAGGACTGAAATGCCTGAAAACACAGGAGGAGAACTGTAGGGGCTAAACTGTATTTAGACCACTGACCTGCAGCAGGAGCTAAAGCAATTCTGACTTGTTGCCCAAGTTGTCTGTGCTAGATGAGGCTGCCTGCAAGAACAGAAAATCTAGCTGACTCCTCTGTCACCTCACACTTCTTTTCCCTTTACTGCTTGCTAAAATCTCTGTCTTAATCTAAGAGTATTTTCTCCACTTGAGCATGCCTCAGCAGCCCACTGGCTGACAAACGTTTATGGTCAAATCCTTGTCCTCACTTACTCCTGGACAAGTCTGACACTTCAAAGCCAGAAACAAGAACAAGGGCATAACTCAAATTACAAGAGTAGACGGGAGAGAATCCATTCTTCCTCTGGCTCTGCAGGATTGGCAGTAGAAGGCAGTAATAAAACTGAAGTGGACAGGTACTTTTTGTACTTTAAAGGATCAGGATTTAAACAGGAAATTGCACTGTTTTCAGAATCGCTTTCAGAAATAAAACTGCCTTCTGATATTCTTCCTGCTACTAAAAAGTCAGGTGAAGATATCAAATTACAAGTGAAAGCTGTGAAACTCCATCTGTGTTGCTTTCACATACCTATAAAAATGTTCTAAGGGACTTTAAAAGCAGTTCAAGAGTAAAAATAAAATGATCCCCCAAATGCAGCTGAAATGTTGGGATCTGTAGGAGGGCATAATTGGACATTCAAGTGTGCAGTGCTGGTGGTGGTGTTATTTTTGAGAAATAATGACCGGATCCTTTACATGGTCAAAAGTACCCATGTAACATTAATTGTAAACAGCATGCACGGACAACCTGAAAAGAAACATCAGGCACCGCCTTTCTTTTGCAATTGCTCCAGTTTTCTTCTTAAGAGGCTGTAGTTTTCCTTGGTCCCGGGTGCCATAGGATCAAGCTTCAGAGAGACTTCATAGTGCTTCTTTGCTAAGTCAAGATTTCCCCAGCGATGATAAAGCACAGCTGGAACATCAATGAGGAATTTCATTAGCAATATTGTTGAAAAACGTGCAATCTTGCCAATCGCTTGGAAAACAACATTAAAGCATTTGTTTCCAGCGAGGGTCTCTGGCTGGCTGCTGGCACAGTAGCTGCTTGTTCTGTTGCCAAATGCAGGAGCAAAGCCCGCAAGCAGAACTGGCATGGGAATGATGAAGGAATGAATTACACTGCAGCCATAAATGGCAGCTCTTATCTGGTGAGCTCATTGCAGGTTACAAGCGTAGCATAAATGAACCAATTTGCACACACTGAAGTGCAGCTACCTCTGGGCTGGACTGTGCAGCCCTCTCGATCTGTCATATCATGTGACAGCTTTTCTGGTTTAGTGCCCTGTTCTTCTGTCTGTCACTTTTTCTAGGAAGTAAAATAGAAATCTGCCCAGCAGGAAGAAGGCTCAAAAGATTGCTTTTTCTTTTTAAACACAATGAAAACGAAGCAAACAAACAATTCAGCTGATAAGAGTTCGAAAGGCTCTTACCCAAATTACCATGATAACTGGCAGCATTTGGATTGGCTTTAATTGCCTTGAGGAACAAAGCTTCAGATTCCTGAAAAATTTGGAAGAACAAGTCAACAGGACAGTCTACTCCTATAGTATATAAAATAATGCAAAATTTACCCACAATTGTAATGAAAACCCCTCCAAAACTATGCCCTATCTATATGATACCATCATATATATATTCTAAGCCTGCGTGATCCTGTCACTCGGGTGGCGACAGCCTCCAGAAAACAGTGATAATGCTACAAGTGCGTGCCATGCTTTCACAGGCTGCTGTTAATTTAGCAGAGAGCTATTAAGCACTAGTGAAGTTTGCAAAGCAGTTTACTTAAATTTTTTTTTCTTGCATAGTTATAATATTTTCAAACATTACCTACTGAAGTTTTCCCTACTTACTCAATCAAGTTAAGGATAATATATTATTATTTGAGTATCTCAGCAAACTGCTTTTACACACCTTTCCCTTTAAAATAGTTTCTGGCATTTAAAATGGGGGCATTTCAAACAGATGTTTCAACATGGTTCTCAATGAAGAGCAGCTGATTGCCTGCTACTAAAAAAAACAAGCCAACTGAAATATTCCTGACATTTCCTCACAAGTTATCTTTTCCATATTGCCACCTGCAGTGTGTACTCTTAGGACTATTGATATCTGAGTACTTCTTAGAAAAGCTGAGCTCCCTTGCCAAATATTCAGAGAGCAATTTACCTCTAAATTTATTCACTAATTAAAACATTTTTATTTTCCCAAACTAGCTGCTAATATAGATATCTTTGTTTCAGAGCATATTTCTTGCAGAAATTTAAAATGATACACCCTCCCAATCCAAATGGAGCATATTTACTTGCTTGCATGCAAGTTTAGATATTTTAGAGGGCGAATTTTACATAGATTTCTATGCTATGCTATGTTTTAGGGATAGTTGCCCACTCAGTTTCAATGCAAATGACCTGAAGATAAAGTTACCTCAGTGTGGCAGGCTTCCATCTGAACGCACATACTTGCTGCCTGAGGTATGTGAGAACAGCAACCTGGGGAAAAGGCCTTTCCTTTGTGCTAAGCTTTTATTACTTACATCCACAAAACACAGGCTCTACTGAATAAGAAAACCTATCAGCCAGGTTTTTGGTTCTACCATTTTCTCCTGTGAAGCATGAAGTCAGTCTCTGTAAGGGTCCCTCAGGGGAGAAGAAATTTCTGATGTCAAGATCAAGTCACTCGACTTTGAGTGACTTAAGAGCTTCCCAGTATGTCCAAATTCAAACCCAAACCACATGCTCGTTTCAAAGCATTCCTTAGCACAGCTGAGGCTGCCACTCTGAAGCCAAGAGAGACTGATGCAGAACGTGCCTTCATCTTCTCAGGTCAAGGAAATGGCAAACCTTGTAAAATTACCAATCTTGACAAATCCTGTTGCAAGACACCATGTTTCAGGAGAAGGAATACTTGGATAGGAGTGAACAAGGGAACCAGATGCCTGGAAATTTAGGGAGTATATGACTACATAGTGTGAGTTTTAGCATTGCTTTTCCCTGTCATAAGCAACAGCTCCAGCTTTCTCATACCCAGACTATTAGTGCTCCTGGATGCATTGGTCTCTTTGAAGCCCGTACTATTTAGTGTCTTCATTAATGTTTTGTATGATGGGAGTTGAATGCACTTTCAAAAACTTTACAGAGAGCACCTAAGAGGAGGGAGTGGTCAATACACTGGAGGGGAGAGATGCTATTCAGAGGGACCTGGACAGGACAGAAAAATGGACTAGCAGGAATCACAGAATGGTTGAGGTTGGAATGGACCTCTGGAGGTCACCTGCTCCAACTTCCCTGCTCAAGCAGGGCCAGCTGCCCAGGACTATGTCCAGGTATCATCAGCAAGGATGGAGACTTCACAACCTCTCTGAGCAACCTGTGCCAGTTTCTGGTCACAGTCACAGTAAAAAAGCATTTCCTGATATTCAGATGGAACACCCCATGTTTTGGTTTGGGCCCATTGCTTCTTGTCCTGTCACTCAGCACCAGTGAAAAGAGCCTGGCTCCATCCTTTTTGCATCTTCAGGTATTTATATACATCGAAATCCTCCCCCTGAGACTTCTCCAGGCTAAACAGTCCCAGCTCTCTCAACATTTCCCCATACGAAAGATGCTCCAGTCCCTTCATCATCTTCATGGCCCTTCACTGGACTCTCTCCAGTATGTCCGTGGCTCTCTGGGAACTGGACACAGCCTCCTTCAACCTGGTGGCAACACTCCTAACACAACCTAGGATATCATTAGCCTCTTTGCCACAAGGGCACCTTGCTGGCTCGTGTTCATTCGATCTGGTATCCACCAGGACTCTCAAATGGTTGAGGTTGGAATGGACCTCTGGAGGTCACCTGCTCCAACTTCCCTGCTCAAGCAGGGCCAGCCGCCCAGGACTATGTCCAGGTATCATCAGGAAGGATGGAGGCTTCACAACCTCTCTGAGCAACCTGTGCCAGTTTCTGGTCACAGTCACAGTAAAAAAGCATTTCCTGATATTCAGATGGAACACCCCATGTTTTGGTTTGGGCCCATTGCTTCTTGTCCTGTCACTCAGCACCAGTGAAAAGAGCCTGGCTCCATCCTTTTTGCATCTTCAGGTATTTATATGCATCGAAATCCTCCCCCTGAGACTTCTCCAGGCTAAACAGTCCCAGCTCTCTCAACATTTCCCCATACGAAAGATGCTCCAGTCCCTTCATCATCTTCATGGCCCTTCACTGGACTCTCTCCAGTATGTCCGTGGCTCTCTGGGAACTGGACACAGCCTCCTTCAACCTGGTGGCAACACTCCTAACACAACCTAGGATATCATTAGCCTCTTTGCCACAAGGGCACCTTGCTGGCTCGTGTTCATTCGATCTGGTATCCACCAGGACTCTCAGATACTTTCTTGCCAAGCTGCTTTCTGGCTGGGTGGCCCCCAGTTGTTCCTCTCCAGCTGCAAGGCTTTGCACTTTCCCTTGTTGAACTGCATGAGTTTCCTGCCAGCCCATTTCTCCTGCCTGTTTAGGTCCCTCTGGATGGCAGCATGACCCTCTGGCGTATCAGCCACTCCTCCCAGTTTTGTGTCATCCACAAACTGGATGATGGTGCACTCTGCACCATCATGCAGGCCATTAATGAAGATGTTGATCAGAATTGGATTGCAGGAATCTCATGAAGTTCAAGAAGAGTAAATGCAAAGTCCTGTATCTGGGATGGGGTAACCCCATGAAAAAGTACAGGCTGGGGGGCTACTCTCTAGGAAACAGCTCTACAGAAATGGATCTGGTGGGCCTGGCAAATTGAATAACAGCCATCAGCATACCCTCACAGCAAAGATGACCAACCACATCCTGGGTTGTATTAAGTAGAACTACAGCCAGCAGGTCCAGTGAAGTAATCCTTCTCTATTTAGCACTTGTGAGACCACATCTGGAGTTTGTGTTCAGGTTGGGGCTCTCCATTACAAGAAAGACATGGACATACTTTACTAAGTCCAGCAGAGAGCGACCAAGATGGTTGTGGGCTGGAGTGCAAGACATACAAGGAGTAGCTGAAAGAACCGGATCTCTTCAGCCTTCAGAAGAGAAGACAAAGGGGAGACCTTATTGCTATCTACAAGTACGTGATCAGACGATACAGAGAAGATGGAAACAGTCTGTATGACAGGATGAGACACAATGGATACAAGCTGGCATATGGGAAATTCCAATTAGATAAAAGGAAACTTCGGGTTTTTTTAACCGTAAGGGTGGTAAAGCACTGAAAGACGCTGCCCAGAGAGGTTTTGGAATCTCCATCCGTAGAGGTGTTCAAGATTCAACTAGAGATAGCCCTCATTTAGGCCAGGGATTGGACTAGATGACCTCTGGATGTCCCTTCCAGTCAAAATTACTCTATAATTCTAATTCAGTCACCTGAGAAACATAGTGAGACTCAGACATTTGGCAAGCCTAGTGGTGTTGCAAGACAACCTCCTCTTTCTGTACAACCAACCAAGCCTAAAAATCAATGGTGGATTGGTGCTTGAAAGCATGCAGTAGTCAGGAGTCCCACAAAATTGTATTTTTCTCCACTGTAAATTTTAGTATTTTGGTCTAGTAAGTAAATCTCTGCTTTTTTCACTGGGCAGGTCAACAGCAACCAAAGAGAAAAATGTGCTCTCCAATTAATTCAGTTTTATGCCTAAAAGTTGCCACCTACACAAAGGAGAAGCAGCTAAAGTATGGACTCACCCTTTCACTGCTGAAGCACGATAGGACAACGTGTGCAATGGGCTCCCGGAAAATTTAATGAAACAGATTCTACGAGTTGGCTGCCATTACCATACATCTTCAACTACGTGCTGAAAACATTTTTATCACCGCTGCTTTGCTCAGCAGCTAGTAGAAGCATACTGGCTGATTAAGGGCTATTTAAGGTGCATCATATTCATATTACTGTAGATATATGGAGTAAATACACATTTCAGTACAGCCGGTGATATTTCAAATTGTTCTATCTTGCCAAATCTTTAAGTGTTGCCAAGAAACTTGCACACTGCATACAGCAAAGGCTTTGGGTAAGCACACTGCATTCCATTTGCTGCCAAGGCCATGGCACAAAATTGTAGCCTGGCTTTATTTCAAATACAAAAAATGCTGAATGGTTTCATTTTATTGTATTTTTTTACAGAAAAACCAGAGATGTATACATAACAAAAACAGAGCATACATATTTTCAAAGAACTAAAGATAGCTTGGTTCTTCATCCATTGTGACACGGACAAGCATTTAAAGGGGAACTCTAACTTGGTATAACAGATGTTAATTAAAAAACAAAACAAAACCACCAAAACAGCTCATCCTTGATGTGCTTTTGTTTCTGGAACAATAAATCATTCATGAGTAGATACAAAGAGAAATCATAAAGGGTTGGGTTTTTTTCTGGTCACTTAGGAAAACTATCTTCTGCTGAAAATCAAAGTGAAACTGAAGGAGAATATTGTGTGCTTATTGGAAGTAAACCTCTCATAACATAGTAAAACCTTTTTGACTCAATGTCTTTTAAAATAAGAGATAACAAAAAAACCCAGAACAGATCTTACTTTACAGCAACAGAGCCAACACAGTAACAACTTTTATACAGACACATAACAAGTAACCTAATGAAATGCCTGAGGTTATACAACACATCCAACACAGCCAGGCAGCCCTCTGAAAATTACCTCCATCACCTTGACAGGCTCCATCCCCCCCTCCTCCCTTCCCATCCCAAATACTCAATAAAAAAATCCTTAAAAAGCCATCCACTTCTCTCTGTTTTTACGTAGTGAGGAGGTAGACAAGAAATGTGATTTTTCCATGCTTTTTATTGACATTTAGTATTCTCCCACTTAAACCCCCTGTATCTCCTCTTCCCAGGTGATGCAAAATACAGCTGCTGAGACCACAACCTTTTCTAAGTGAGTCCCCTTTCTAATTCCCTTACTTTGCTCTCCCTGTTATAATCCATCAATTGCAAGTTAATAGTGAAGTTTTTTGCTCTATGCAAACCTACTGCTCCATATTGAACTATTAAAACACTCAGTGGCTCCCTGCTTTCTTCCCTGGACTCCACTGCTCCTTTTGCTTTATTCAGGATGCTGACTTGAAAGCTTCATTTTCCTCTACTATCATTTCTACTTTGTCTCCAACACATTGCCTTGCAACATAATGACCATTCAGAGCTAGCAATCAAAATCACTACCTCCTTCTTTATTTTTTAAATCCACTAAGACAGACTTGTTTCTCCTATACCTGGAAAAGTTTTCTAGCTTTTCAACTTATTTTTTCTACTTATTTCATTATAAATAGTCTTTATTCTGTCATGCTGCATACTCTTCTTGATGAATAACTATACAATCCTCTATTCTTTCACAGTCATGACTCACCAAAATAATCCTAGCAATTACCTCCTCCATAATCTCATCCCGTATACATTCTGGATGTTAATTTGTATCCTTCTGGAACTTTGTTAAACTAACCTAAAATATGTATTTTATAACAGTCTCAGGTGGAGAGAGAAAAGAGTGTACGGAAAAAACCTCCAGCCAGTCTAGAGAAACAGTAATGGGCAGTGGGGTGGGGGGGGGTTGTGTGTGTCTAACAGCATCACTAACACAAACAAAAGCAAATGCTGGGTTATCACAGGCCCTGGCTTCACATGTGGACAGGTCATGACTCCACAGCTGAACAGGACTGTAGAAATTTAAGTGTACACAGTATTTGGTGGAAAAAATGTGTCTATTCTGAGAAGTTTAACATCATAAAATTTTCTTTCTTTGCATGTACTGAGGATGTTCCTGCACTGCTGCTAACATTATCACTACCAAAAAGCCATCAAAACCTCCAGAAGTCATAGTTCAGAAAATGATGTTTTTCTGAAGAATACCAAAAACGTCCTTGGTTATTAATTTATCCCTATCACATACATAAATCAGTGACTATGTAGTCAATTAAAACAACTAAACCTATTGACTGTGTATGATTTATTCTCTGTCAGCTCATATAATTCCTTTTGGAAAATAACTCATTCTCATCAGTTCCTTTACATTTAGTACTTGTAAATGTAAGTAGCTAATGCTGAGGTATCACTCGCAGGCTGGTCCACTGCATCCAAGAGAAAGTTCAATACGTTGCTCAATGTATGGACTTTTCCTCATAATATTCTGCGATTACCCAGGTATCCCATTCTCAGTCTGGGATTAGCAAATCTGTAATATCTCTATTTTAGATAGCATCTGAGGCAAAGAGGCTAGAATTCATATCGGGCAATGGTAAACCCTTACATACAAAAGCACAAGGACCAGCATATCACATCTAATTTTAGTTCCTGAACCAAGGCCTCTAAATCAGAGCAGGCTCTACTGGCAGTGAAGCAATACAAGACCCTAACTGCCCTCTAGTGTGCTTAAGAGCCTACTTCTCTCCACTGACCACTGACACAGTTTAGGGCAGCAACATTCCTAACTCAGGCATCTAAAATAAGGTGGGATGAACTTAGGCCAGAATCACACAGTAATACAGTGACACAACAACCTCCTTTAAACACTTTCTACAGAAACTTACACAGAGTTTAAACAGGGAAAAAAACCCCAAACCAGAACATAACCAACATTTGGAAAGCTCTGGGTACCTACCTTATATTTTTGCGACTTCCCCAGTACATTTGCCAATGAAAACATAAGGGAATGATCATTAGGTATTAATTCCAGGGCCTCTCTTCCAACTGCTTCTGCTTGAGCTAGATTGCCTGGGAGCCCGGGTAGTGGAAAAAGAGAAGGCATCTTTTAACACAGCCTTATTAGTTACTTCTCATGCTGCAAGCACACATATTGTACGAACAGCATTTTTAAAGAAAAAACAGGTATCACACACACACAAATGTAAAACTCTGCAGAATGAGACAATAGAGAACCTCCATTTTGTTTTCAACAGATAACACTTTCACAACAGTAACAAAGTACAGATTCAAAAGTTCTGAAGCTTGGTCTATAATACAAACATACTGGTACAATGATGGCATTTCCCATAAGGATCAAAAATTCAATTAATGGGCTGGATTTCAAGTGATGCTTTAAAACCACTGAGTCAGAAGGTATTCTTATATTTATAGAGAGTGTCTGAGTAGCCAAAGAAGAGACAGAACTCCTTTTAGGTGAATACAGATAAAGCTTTAAGTTTTGCAAGACACTGAATTATTCATTAAAACATTCAAATGAGCTTATACCTGTGTTATCAAGCAATATAATCATATTGTTCCAAGCCAAACTATGCTCTGGTTTCAGAACTGTAGCATTCCTCCATGCATTCAATGCATCTATATGGCGATTCAAATCTGCATACTAAAAAGAAAGAAAAACTCAGTAATTTCACCCTGATTTTGCTTTACTTTCCTATCATGCACTAAGGACACTAAAGATATGTTAATGGTTCATTCCATTCTAGTAGAACTTGGTTTTATAGACAAAAATAAGAAATGTAAAAAGAATACTAGGGTCGAATGGAAGATAAGAGTGCTATACACTATTTTTACTCTGCTTTTCTCTGGGACCCAGGCTTGTTTTCAAATATGCGTGTACCAATAGGATAGGGAGGAAAACCAGCATACAATTTAGAAATCTACACAAGAGAATAAGTAAATAGTTAATATAAATATTTCCAAGAACCTAAATGGAATTTTTTTGCATAGTTCTACTACCTAACAATATACTAATGACTGTGAAACAGTCAACAGTCTAATATTGGGAAATGATTAATAATATCTTTTCAACAAAAGACCACAATCTATATTTTTCTTTATACCTCTTTATATGAAAAAGTAGGACTACCAAAGGTTGTATGGAAGAAAGTATACTGGGACAGCAATAGGAAAAGCTACTGAAAATCTGAAATCACCCTGAACTACAAATCAAGCAAACTGGAATAAATATCAGGATTTAACAGTACAGTGGAATTATATATATATACACACACACACACACACACACAGAGTTACTGTCATAGCTATCATTTACTCAAAAGTACTTACCAATCGCCCTAAATTGTAGTAACAATCTGGATATTTTTTCCTGTGTTTAATTGCTGTCCAGTAGCTTTGCTCTGCCTCTTCAAACCTCCTTAAACTGTTCTGTACTATCCCTAGATTCATCCATGCAGCAGCAAAATCAGGTCTGAGTGAATTGGGAAAAAAAAAAAAAAAAAACAACGAGAGAGAACAATTGAGCATTTGGAACACAAGAATCTATTGTATCATTTCTGCTCAGTTGGTGCAAAACGCTTCTTAGCATTGTTCTAAACATACTGTATTTGTACAGCTAAGGACAGCAACTCCTCTGCTTCTTGGAGCTCGTTTCTTTCTTTCAGAATATTTCCAAGGTTGTTCATGGCATGTACATATTTAGGATTCAACCTAAAATTTAAAATTTAAGAGATTATTATTATGTGTAGTACATGTATTACTATACGCAAATTGCTAGTTCTGCAGTGCTGCAGACCATGAAAATTAATACCTAAGCATTTTCTTCATGTTAAACATGAAAGCAATTTTAGGATAGTTCATTAAAGCAGTAAAATTCCTAATACCTTACAGCTTCTCTGTAGTATTTGATTGCAGCACTTTGATTTCCTTTGTCAGCCAGATTTTTGCCAACATTGTAGTGCACCTGAAAACACAGATGAACATTCTACCAGATGCTACACATTCAGATATTTTGTGGAGTCAAATTGCTAAAAATTCTTACTCCAAATAGATACAGTCAGTGCTTGCGTCATTCACTGCTGGCTTTTGTTGTAGGTGGATACTTAAGATTGGACAGTACATACAATGAAGACAGCAAGACAAAATCTGAGGAATAAATTAATTTAATCAGCTTACCTGTTCCAGCTATTTAAGAAAGATTATTCACTTCCTGATTTTATAAATGAGGTCACCACACTTTCCATAAGGCGCTCTATATTGAGACATCCTGCCCTTAATTTCATTTATTTGTCAGAAAACTAAGAGAAAATCTGACTCAGTCAAATCCACCATAGCAGAAGAAACACTACAGCAACGTAAATGTTGATTAAGCTTTGCTTTCGCTATAGTATAAACTAGAAGAAACTCAGCATTAACAGAGTAATGAAGCTCCATAGTTCAAAACCAAACCGAGATACAGCTACAGGAAAGAAGACACATCATCAGAATTTATGGCAAGGACTAGATAGGAATAAATATATTTCAGGGCAAATCTGAGTTGCAAGACATCTCAAATCCTACTTTAAGACAAACCTCAGAAGACTACATTACCTGGTCCAAGGGAAGACTCAGGTTTAGAAGTAACAGAGAAGTACTGTGAATACTGACTCCTGAAAACAGACTTCTCAGCAACTAGATCAGAACTCATTATTTAAATTACCCTACTATTTGAAATCAAATTGTATATACTTCATCTAAAACAAACACACATTGTCATTTCTTCCATATTTTGAAAATCTAGTTCAAATCTTTTCAAAAACACTCTGCAGGAATTACTTCAGATTGAAGGACAAAAAGATAGGTTTGTAATGCATTTAGATAACTCTAACTCACCTTCCACATTCAGAAAAGGATTTTATCTCATGTGTCCATCAAAGGAAAAATCCTAATTGTATTTGGCACAATACCTGGGATCTATTGATCCAGCACAATTATGTTTGAACCTAATTGTTATGGTATTTAATTGTTGAATTCCGTCTCTATATGACTGTGACCATGCAGTAACATATAATTGACAAATAAAGTTAAGAACATTTTCCATACTTTCTGGAATGAGTGAAAAAGTAGTGTCACTGGTTTTACAGACAGCAAAGATGCTATAAAGCTTACTAAGCATACAAAGAAGCAGCTCCTCAGGCTCTAAGATATAAAATAGCACACAAATCCAGCACCCCATAAACGCAGTTCTAGCACAGCTTAGAATCATAGAATCATAGAATGTTTTGGGTTGGAAGGGACCCCTAGAGGTCATCTAGTCCAACCCCCCTGCAGTGAGCAGGGACATCGCTAACTAGATCAGGTTGCTCAGAGCCCCGTCAAGCCTGGCCTTGAATGCTTCCAGGGATGGGGCCTCCACCACCTCTCTGGGCAACCCGTTCCAGTGTTTTACCACCCTCATTGTAAAGAATGTCTTCCTTATATCCAGCCTAAACCTACCCTGGTTTAGTTTAAAGCCATTACCCCTTGTCTTGTCACTGCTGGCCCTACTAAAAAGATTTTCCCCATCTTTCCCATAGGCCCCCTTTAGGTACTGAAAGGCCGCAATCAGGTCTCCCCGCAGCATTCTTTTCTCCAGACTGAACAAGCCCAACTCCCTCAGCCTGTCCTCATAGGAGAGGTGCTCCAGCCCTCGGATCATTTTTGTAGCCCTCCTCTGGACCCGCTCCAACAGGTCCATGTCCTTCTTGTGCTGAGGGCTCCAGAGCTGGACGCAGTACTCCAGGTGAGGTCTCACCAGAGCTGAGTAGAGGGGTGGCAGGGCCGCTCTCCATCCTTTCTTCCCCCAGCCTGTACTGATACTGGGGGTTACCCTGACCCAGATGCATGACCTTGCACTTGGCCTTTTTGAACCTCATGAGATTCACACAGGCCCACCTCTCCAGCCTGTCCAGGTCTCTCTGGATGACATCCCGTCCTTCTGGTGTGTCAACCGCACCACTCGGTTTGGTGTCATCTGTCAGCTTCCCCTCCTTCCCCCAAAAATCCAGGCACTTCTTTTGTACATTCATAAAAATATGACAAGGTCCATGCCAAAGAAGCAATGGAATGGTACATTTATATCAATACGTAGCCATTAATAAAGATCAGTTGATGGTATCAAAAAAACAAAAATAGAATAGCATTGTTTTCCCAGGAGTCATTAAAGTAAAATGATATACCCTGACAGATGTTTCTTAGGACCAAATGCTACTTGTGTATCTTTTCCAGAAATTTCTCAGCACACTATGATAACATCCTTACCAAACTGGGTATCTCTGATTATATATGCTCAAGTTTACAGACTCAAAATTTATTCAGAGCAAATTAGGTTATTAAAACTTTTCTGTATTTCCAGATAAAACATAAATCATGGCAAAACAGAAAAAAAATCAGGAAAGATTTCATTCAATAATGTCTACTAGCCCTTAAAATACCTGACTTCACATTTCTGTATCAGCAAACAAGACTACATTAACTTGATTCAATCTTTCTTGAAGACGTTTTATAAAAGTCATAAGCATTCCTGAAAGAAGAAATTTGATTAAAGACTGGGGACAAAGCATATGAGAAAAAACTTTATATACACCAATGACTCAGTCTTCCACATGTCAGCTGTCTTATGTTAGGGAACAGGCAGCATTTCACCATCTGATTCCATTTTTCTCAGTTTTTAAGAACATGGAACGTCTTAATATCCATCTCTACCTCAAAAGCAGCAGCAGAAAAAATACTTTTCTCATGTAAGCAGAATTGTGCGGACTGCAGAAACTCAAGAGATATCAATTCTCTCAAGTCAAAACGTCAATTGAAATATTAAGTATACATGTACATTTTGTCAACTGAACTAAAAAGATGTACTATGGTCTATTAAAACTGATAGCAAAACTATTTAAATAGACTATTAGTATTTTTGATTGTGTATTTCTCTGTCCTCAGAAACCGCTTCTGCGTGAAAGGAAACAGTATTTCCATATAGTAGTACTGAAAATGAAGAGTTCCTTGTTGTAGGTTAGTTTCCTAATTTCTCTTGAACTGAAGTTGTAGCCTTAGTTCCTCTTAATATGGTGGTGACGGAGAAGAAAGGAAGAAAAATGAAAACAAACAAACCAAAAGAACCCCTCAGCCTACCACAAATATTCAACGACAAAACCAGCTTTACCAGGGATTATAACATGCAGGAACATCCTGCTCTTAAGAACCGAGTCAGCAAAGGGTTTCCAGGCACAGGCAGTCATTGGAGGGGTGCAGGTGACTTTTGCCATACAGCCATGTCTCCCACTTCACTGGCCATGACAGAGAGATGTCATGATCAGCCTTTAGCTCTACTCCCCGCAACCAGGCCTACAATAACCATCTGCCCTCTGCTAAGCGCAAGGCTGTAACTCTCCTTGACTTCTCCCGTGACCCCTATCTGCACCGCATGGGGACACAAGCTCTTTCTATATACCCATGGGTGGAAAAAATCTGGCCTTTAAAAAATGAGGGGCCAGCGCGATGTTTTAAATTTCATCTCTAGAGATGGGGTTCTTCTGTCTTTGACAGATACTGTGCATGCCAACCTGGGAGAGAGGACTTTCCTTTCCTGATTAAACATTTAAGAGCAGACATAGCATTTCGTTATTAAATGATTAATGATAGATATTAACTGGAAATGACGTATTACGTTATGCCCACATGCTCCTTTATCAATCTTAAAGAGGTAATTGCTTTACAGTAATAACTCTCGAAAAGGAACATTTCTCAGGGATGCATAACAACACAGTGTTCTCCGAAATCAGGGCGATATGGTAAAAATACCCTAGGACAGAACCTAGCAGATCTCAACAGGCACGCACTGTTTAAAGTTAACATAACCATGGCACCATAGCCTAGCCCAAGAATTGGCTCTACGTGTTTGTCTGTTCACAGAACCTCAATCAGCCAGTATAAAAAAGCAAAAGCACTGTATATTATTCTATGCTGGACATACACAGTGCTTGAACTCTTCTCTAAGTGTTCAAATGAACATGCATATTTAAATGAGGAAGAGAAAGAAAAAAATTGTATTGCCCTGTACAAAACCAAAATTACTGTCAAATAGGGGTTTTTTTGGTTTTTATTCCTCAAAGCAGCGTAGGAAGAAATTGAAATGTAGTACCACCTTCTAGGAGGTACACCCCCCTCAGTTGGAGCACTACTATCATCAACTATTTTATTCTCTATTCCTAGCTGCTTATAATCACTTTTTCAGCAAATATGAACATGAGCTGAGAAGGATGGAAGCAAAGCACAGATGTCAACATTTCTACAGAAACAGGCAGATGCTTCTGTTCAACGCCAGCTTCTTTCATCAAACTCTTTCCTCTACTACTGAAATTCTGTTTTCTAAATAATAATAAATCAAAGCCTTTTTGATCTTCACATTTGGTTCATGCAGCAAACATTGTCTAAAGGTTCTTCTGCATGACCATGCTTGTATACAAAAATCTGACATCTAAAATGGTATCTGTGTGGCAAAACACTGCAGATAGCCCCTCTAAACATAGCCCACAGCACTTAAGGTAAATTCTGCAGAAGATAATCCCCTTTTAATCTAAAGAATAGAAAAGAATTCTCAATATCTAAAGGAAACACTCTCTAGATCAGCTTCATAAATCCTTAAACAGCAGTAAATCTTGTTCTGTCACGAAGAGGTTTTACAAGACTTTTGAACAAAGTATAGAAAGTAATTTCACAAACTGTTTTCAGTATTAGCATAGCTTGTCTTTGACAAACTTGTATCTGTAATAATTACAGTTTGCATAAAGCATCAAGTACAAAGTTACTACCCTTAATATGTCAAGGCAGACTGGTTAGTAACACATTCTGTTGGGCATATCATAAATTCCTTGCTTATTATTGCAGAAAAGTTGCTATTGAAATGGCGTTTTAAAAATTATGTTTATTACTTTCTATCCTGTAAGAAAAGCCAGAAGCAAGGAGATTGTACAGATTACGTATAGAAATATTAACAATTTACAATCATTTAAATTCAGTTATTTCAAATCTAAACAAAGAAAAATGGTGGCTGTTTCCCATGTATTTAACAATGCAATTACACATTTTATTTAGATAATCAGAGGAAGTCATCCAGAAATAAAAACCATCTCTGAATTCTTAAAAGCTGCCATGGCTTTGATAAAAGCCAAGAAAAAGTTGCTCGGCACTTCCAACAGTACCTTACAAAAAAAGGCAGCAAGTGAGAATTTTTGGGAACAATCTTTAAAATTAAAAGAAACAATGTGTAATGACCTCAGAAGGTGAGAAGCAATACAGCAGCGTCTAGAAATAGTGAACACTAGCAGGGCCAGGGCAAAATCTCACATAGCCACATCCGCTCTAGTTGTTAGGACTTCTTTTGTCATCAGTGGAGAGAAATGAACAGATCTAGGGTGCAGCCCTTCTAGCCTGTGTCAGTCATTTAGTCCAAGCTGATGCTGAACCAAGTGCTAAAAGGGACAGCTTCTCCTCCCCATTTATAAAGGGAGCCTGCTTGACTCACTCGGGTGGAAATGTCTAAATCTAAGGAGATAAATCCAAGCCAGTAGTCTGATATGGTGAAACAGTAGTTATGCTTTTATCATAGCATGTAATTAGATATTCCAAGTACTTCAACAAAGCATTCCAGGATTAACTTGCAACACAATGACATCAAATGAAAAGATGCCAAATTGGATCCAGTGAGCCTTTTAAGCCAGTAGCACTGAAATATTCCAAATTTATAAACTACCTGTAACATATAACCAACGTATCAGGAGAAAACAGTAATCATAACTGTTCACAAAATTTGCTTTAAAAACAACACAGGCCTGATCCAACTCACACTTGTGCGTATCACCACTGAACTCCAGGAATTAAGTCAATCTATACGGTATGAAAAAAAGGTGGTAAGACGAAACTGAATCAATATACAGGCACATTCTGTTCTACTTAGAAAAACACTGCCAAATGTATTCAAAATGCATACTGTTTCAATCTAAGAACCTTTGAAACCAACTTAAGTACAGGACCATGCAAGTTCAAATGCGTGACATACTCCTGGGCATGTTTAATCACGATTTGTAACACACTTCTTTCTCTTTCTTAAAAAAATTATGTGTAATATATATATATATCATATATACTTAAAATATTTTAAATAAGTAACACTTAAAATAAAATTTAAAATACTTAAAACATTTAAAAATCTGTATTGTGAACTTTAAAAGAAAGTAAAAATCTTTGTAACTTCATTACCTGATTATTTCTGATAAACTTTAAAATCACGGGGCCACATTTATCAAAGGTGATCCTAAATTTCATCCCCTTGAGCCAGGTGCATCCATCACTCAAGGGGGCAGATTCTCTACTATGTCAGACAATCTGATTTAATGCAATTTCCACACCTCTTTCTAAGAGTTGTTTAAAGAAGATGAGTCTTGAAATTAGAGAAGGCACTGCTGTAACTCCTTGTTACTTAGAATTAAGGTAAGTTTACTATACACTGCACACATACAGACAATTTGGAATTAAGAAGAACTTTACCACAAAAACATGCACTAGGAGCTGCAGCTTTTATTGCTAGTTGGGAGACACCTGGATATTCTGGGACCCTGCTACACAAGGGAAGTAAAGCATGACCACATTACACATATTAAAGATGTTCCAAGAACAATAACAAAAAGCTATTATCTGCGTTCCACCTTTTGGTCTGCATCAGCCTCCCACTGAAATAAATGGGCCACTGAAAGGCCTGTGGAGTCATTTTTAAAGGAAGTCTGCAATTTCAAGACAACAACAGAAGATCAGAACAGAACCTAGTTCCAATTCTTACATTTACTTTTGTCAAAATTGAATGAATATAGCCGAGTCCATAAAGAAAAAAATAAATTGGCTCTCACACATGGACTTGCTAATGCTGTTGCCTAGAAAAGTTCCCTATTGCTGTGATTTCAAAGTTACTCCTTCAGCAAAATCAGAATGCGAGCCTACAAAACCCTCCCTGTTCACATCGCCACGCTTTCCCTTTGCGCAAGCTGTCACTAGCAGCAATACAGCTCAGGCATGCCTACATGGCCCAATGTTGACAAACACAAGCTCATTTTCCCTGTACACTCATTGGCTTTGAACCAGCTGCATTAGTTCAGTAGCTTGCACACAGCTTATCAGCTCAAGCACAGCACTGTGCGAACACAGCTACATAGCTTCCCAGCCAGACATGGCTTGTGTCCAAGGAGCTTGGAGCACAGGCAAAGAGAGTGTGGATCTGTCTAAAGTGCTCTTACCATGGCAGATGGATGGAGTTACACACAAAGAAACAGATTGCATTTGCTCCATTTATAGCATGCGCTTGTCATCCAGAAGACAAGATATACTGAGGTCATCATTAAAAAGAAAATGGTTGCCTACCACTGCCACACAATAAAATACAACGGCTCTTTGTCTATATATTGAAATCTGAGATTATGGAAAGACACCACCATGTTGCAAATACTGGCCATAAATGCTTTTTACAGCTCACTGCTGCATATCTGTATTCCAGTAGATGCCAAGTTCATCATTCTCTTTGCAAAGTTGAGCATGCACAGGTTCCTTTTTAAACCGTGTCTTGAGCTGTATTGTCTAGATGCCACTCTAGATTACAGAAATCGTATCTTTTAAAACATCAATGTATTTTTATTGACAAGCTGTGCATTCCTATTCCTAGGCTCTTCAAAGAGAGTCTCTGCTAAAACTCAGACAACATCTGTGATATGCTCCAACAGATCACACTCTCAGCTATCAAAGGACTGCTGCAGAGGTCACCTCTATTGGCAGGCTAGGTTCAGTCCACTATGCCAAACACTGGTGTTCAGCTCAGTGAAACATCCTCTCCAGTCCCACCCTCTTACTTGCTCCCTGATTAAGCCTTGCAGGGAATATTGCAGCTTTCCTTGGTGCCCTTGTCTGAAGACTCTAGCTCATTCAGCCACTGTAAAAGAGCAGAAGTGGGAGCAAAGATTTTACCCCACGTCCTGCAATTACACCGATGATACGCTGCTTTGTCCCTTAGCTGTGCTGACTATATATACCACTGGAAGGTACACAAAAAGGATTCTGAAAACATAGCATAGGCATTCAGGTGAGTATGTTGCTACAACTTACTTTCTTTTCAATATTTTATTGTAATAACTTGCAATTATATGCACAATTGGTTTAGCAGATTTTATTAGCAGTACATCCAATTTGACTGGATGCCTTTCCTGAAGTGTATTCCCCCTTCTCCCTCCCCACTGCCACCCCCAAGTTCTGAATTACAATATCATAATTTGCACCATCTAGTATTTTGACTATGCTACCACTGTAATTTAGGTGCCTCACATGTCAATGTCATATTCTTGCACCAAGTAAGACTGTGAATAACACTGTACCATAATATATTAACTATGCATAACACCTCCTCTATCCCGAATTTCAAAACACTTTACAAAAAAAAGATTAGAAGTCCACATGAATTACTTACTTTTGCATTCAGAGGGCACACAGAGAGTGCACTCCTAAAAAGCTGTTCTTCTGACCTCCACTGACTGCTGCGGAGTGCACAGCGCATAACATTTATCAACAAGATTCCAAGTACTGCCACAGCAAGAATTTTCTTAAGGAAAGAGAGACAAGTTAAGAAAGAAACCATTCAATTGAAGCACTTCACCGTCAACTTTACTGACTGTTTTGATAGTACCTTTTTCTTGGCTTGCTTACTCAAGAGACTAAATCCATATGTAAACAGAATACAATATCCAATACTGGGGAGGTAGATGACTCTCTCTGCAATAACAAATCCTACTCGGAAGAACAGGTTACTTGCAGGAAGAAAAGGGATAATAAGAAATCCGAGTCCCAGTGTGAGAATTCTGCAAACGAGAAACAGATTCTCAAATTAACCACAAATCTTAACAAAAGTACCTTTTCCACTTATAAACTTTATTTTAACATTGTAGAAGGATGTGCATATGGAACTGGGCATTCAAAAGCAGCCTTTGGGAGCTACATAACAAAATCAAATTAAGTTTCAGTGAGGTTTTGACACTTCACTCCATCAGGCACTTTTAAAATCCTAGCTATAATTCCCAAAAAAGCAATGGTCATGCTTCCAAGCCAGAAAATAGCCCCCATTACACATTAATTACATAATTCCTATTTAAAATAAACAGGTAGGAAAAGTAGTGGTAAAAGCTACCTGTCTATTTCTGGAACTAGTATGTCAGTAGCAAGGGAAAAATATAGGTCACCGTGGAAGAAACTTAGGTACAGATCCTATTGAGAGAGCATTTTGTTTCCTAACAGACCCATCAATAGTAGAATCCATTGTGCTTAACCACCTGAAAGCTAGTCATCTACACTTTTTCTACACTCAGCAGAGAGAGGCATTTCTTGAGGGCAGTTTGTATTCCTTGTTTTAGGTGTCTGTGTTAGGATGAGTAATCCTCAGCAGGTACCTATGGACTACACAGAGCTTAGAAAACTGACAGTAGGTACCTTACTTTTGCAGAGCTGACAGAATGAATCCTGGGTCTGCTTCAGGTGTTTGTTGTGAAACCCGCAGATATGGTAGTTTTCTACTCTAATTTATTACAAATAAGTCTCTGTACTGTAATGTAGGTGTGTCCTCTTACTCTTTTCTCCCTCCCCAAGAGTTCTAGGCCTTCACAATGCTTTTTGTCTTTACTTTTTACTAAAAAACTGTTCAGCATATATAGGCTTAGTGTGTGCGTTTTCCACTAGAAAGTATGACATCACTTGTTTCAAGAATTCCATCCCTCTCCAAAATGATTTTATCTGTGCATATGAGTATGGGAACAGAGGACAGGAAGGCAAGTGAGATGTTAACATTTGAGGGGACAAGGGGAAAGAGATGGAATTACAGAATACCACAGAAAAGAAAATATTCAGCACTCTGAACAACAGAATGACATTGTTGTGACTAAGCTGCTGAAAAATTTTAAAGAACTGAGAAATTAATTATACATAAAATCCATGGGAACGGACCCTGAAAAGTTAATCAGGAGCCCTTAGTGAGACTGAATAGTTAAGAAATTTTTTGAGTTCCTTCGGGTAAAGTACAAGTTGTTTCCTCAGTAGATACTATGGGACATCATTTTACTTTTTAATTGTGTGGCCATGGCCAGCATTTTTACCTCCTTTCAAGGTACCTCTCCTCTCTCTCATTTTCAGGAGATCAAAGCAGATGATGACTTATAAGAAGTAGGGGCAACAACATACATCAATTCCTATTCTGTTCTGAGCACAGATTACTTTTTACCACCTACAGTGCTAAGGATCTCAAAATGCCATTTCAGAAGAAAAATAAAGCAGCCATCCATACCTCCTCCTCCAACTCTGTTTCCCACTAGTCAGTGTACAGTGATGGGCCCAAATAGGGATAAAACTGTAATGACAGCTATAAATATTTATTTTAACTGCATTTGCTAGACACTGCTTCCACTGAATTGGTACAAGTATCAGTAGTGGATCTAACAAAATAATACTGTACTCAAGTTGGCCGGGCATTTAAAAATCATCACTGTCTCTTACCTTCTCTTATGGCTGTCTTCTGAGCACAGAGCTTGGCATATCAGACCAATTAGGCAGAACCAAAGTGCTGCTAGTGCAATTATCCTCCAGTCACTGACGGATTTAATGAGGGGTACGCATCCCATTGACCAATCAAAACACAGCCACCAGGGACACAACAGCAACCACGCATTCAACGAATAGTAGTAATTATAGTTTATAGCCTGTCAGTCAAAAAGAAAACAAACATTTATTTGATACTAAACTTAAGGGGGGGGGGAGAGCAAGTTTAGTTTCTCTGCTATCATTGCACTTATCACAAAATATATCTTATACAATAAAGAGGCCTTAAATACTATTAGACTACAAGTAGTTACATATCCATTTAATTTACAGCTGTGAAATTAATTTTTGTTTTTAAACATAGCTAGGTGGCTCTCCTGTTCAGGGCAGGGAAATGAAATGCTGTGCTGTCCAACCAATATCCACATAAATAAAAAAAATAAATCTCCTACAATAGGAAAAATGTCAAAAGACAGCACTCACTGTCTTCGCCCTTCATTCTCCATCTCCAGAAAGAGCCTTAATGCAGTCAGAGGTATAAAGCCAAGACATACTCCAAATGCACCAGACCAGAACTTTATGCTATTTTCTTCACTTGTGAAAGAACAGATGAAGAATCAAACACAGTATGTGGAAAAGGGACTGAAACCCAGCATAAGCTAAATCCTTGCATGCATGGGAAAAGTAGTGAGTAAATGGGAATATACTTCTATGTGTGCAGTGCATGCTAAATTGAATGCAAAGAATATACAAGGTATGCTATTTTAAAAAATTGTAGAAAATCATCACAGCAGCACAAGGGAAGGGTGACTCATCACACATCTTGAAATGTAAAGACTGCCCATTTTATTGTTTCTTTGAAGCACAGAAAATTCAATTTGATGACAAAGACAAATGTTCTGAGCTTGCCAGAAAAAAATAACTTCATAACTTACTCTCACAAACAGACTGTCTGCAAATGAAGCCGGGTTGTCTACTTCCGTGAAAGCTGGTGGCCCTGTGCCCATAATCCTCCAGCGTATATAAAGTATACTGGCCCCTCCAGACATCAGAAGAGTTATCCTGAAAAGCAGCCCCTTTCTTAACAGCCCAACATTCTACAGGAAAGAAAGATAAAAAAACCCCTCATATAAAAACATTATTTTGTTCTCTTCCCACTACATTCACATCCTTTTCACCACCATCTCAGACTCCTGTGCATTTTTGCTATTAGAGTTGACATTTTTCTTATTTTTGCAGTTACTACAAAGCTCTCAAACTTTACTATACTTTCATTGACTAATTGCAAAATATTTTTTTCAAACATTTTCATTTCCTTCTCAATCAGAAAAGAAAACTTGTTTACTAAGAAGTCTCTCTTCTACAAATCCTCAATAACTCCATAGCTGATCTAATTTTACACAGCAATTTCTGAAAGGGAATTTGAGCAGAGTACAGCCTTTAGTATACAGCATATTAAATTGATCTTTTCTTTTTAAAATGGAGGATGGTTACTTTGTGAACTTTCTTTTAAATAGCTATATCTAGTTGACCGCTTGTCATTGAAAGTTGTTGTCCACTTAAGTCTCTTTAGCAGTAAAATTACATGACTGCGTACAAGAAAATTGCATAGTTAGAAGTTGGGAGGAATGAGATTCACATTCACTAGTGTGATTAAAAAGCTAATGGAAGACAGGCACCCAAATCACTTTGGTCAGGCTAAAATAACCCAATATCTACAAAAAATTGTGTTTTATCTACATTAACTCAGTTGATTTACATCACGTATTTTGTAATACACACTTTAGGGTCTAAAGAAGGCAATTCACATAAAACATAGAGAAGTGATGTCACAGAAGCTAAATTTAGCACACTTTCCCATTTTTTCCCCTGTGAAGTATAACGTATTTTCTCCAGGCACACATCAGTTTCATAAATGAAAAGAAAAACACTATACTGTAGAGGTTCTTCAAGCTTCACGAGCAGAGATTGGAAAGAGAATAATCAGTAACTATGATAGCCCTGTCACAGCTTCGAGATGCAAACCCAAGCTTCCAACACCCTACCCAGCTAGCAAATGGTAACTCAGGTAGGAAATGAAGGGTTGCCTTAGAGCTGTCTAAAAACTAACCTGATGGCTGAAATTGCTCTACATACAGCCTCAGCAAGTCACTAGAGAAGCAGGAGATGGAAGACGAGAGTTTCTCTGAAATGTGAGATCATTTGGGTTCCTTCTTTTTCCATTCTACATGTCTGAAGATTAAAGTGTTGGCAAACTATGGATTTTTACACAGAAGAATTGACTGGATCCTAAAAAATAAGGTCATGTGATTGCCAGTATTAGTTTTCCTTTAGTCCTACCTTTCTCCCTTAGCCTGATATGCTTCTATTACCTTTTAAAACCCGATAGTTATACATGATCGATTCTGTGTCCTCCACGAGAGATGGCACACTAATTATGATTACCTATTGCAACATGCTGATTAGCAAGCACCACCGTAATTATTTAGGAGATCAATATTAGTTATTTCTGAAGACATGAAGAAAAATAGGCTTACTGCACAGACATCTGACAGTGCCCTGGCTTGAAGATATTTATTCTCTAAAATGATAGAAAAGTTAAGTTTAAAAGCAATACTCAGATGGGTTTTTAAAATCTGTAGTTGACAGCAGAGTCATTATACAATTTTTAGCTGAATGCCTAACGATAAAGAAGTTTGTAATGTTGATTTTACACAAGCTAGCCTTTGTGCTCAGATGGTTACTTCCAATTTACACATCCCAGTAACTGAAGACACTACAATGAGGATTACAGGAAAACATTCCTAAAAACTAGTTTTGGAACAGAATTGTGCTATGAAGGAAAACCGTATAGTGACAACTTATAACTCCTTTATGACAGAGTAACTACACAAAACCTCTCATCCCAGACTTCATTTCGTTTAACAGTACATGCAACTTCGTAAAGGCCAGATTTCACAAATCACCACAAAATCTCTTAGTAGGCAGAATTTAAAAAGTAGAAAGAGTATTATCGTATCATCTTTGATTTAGAGTTAACTGAAATCTGGCATGAAACCGAAACCTGTCTCAGTCAAGAAGAAAAAAAATCTGCAAGTAAGAGAATTTAAGACCTGCCTTTCAACAAAAGAAAACAAAAAAAACCATCTTGAATACACTTCCATGAAAAGAGCAGAACAGATTTTTGTAGGTGGCAGGAGCTAAAATTAATTACTTCTATTAAAAGAAGAAGAAAAAAAGGCACATTTGATGTTTTCTTCACCCAGACAGAACTGTTTAAAAGTCACAAAAAACAGAAGCATAATGCCTTGAGCTCTTCATGATTAAAGAGTAATCCTCCAAAAAGGTTTGACTCTGACACATTTCACAGAATCATAGAATGGCTTGGGTCGGAAGGGACCTTCAAGGATCATCTAGTCCAACCCCCGCCCCCAGCCATGGGCAGGGACATCTTTGACTTGATCAGGTTGCTCAAAGCCCTGTCCAACCTGACCTTGAACACTTATAATAATGGGGCACCCACAACTTCCCTGGGTAACCTGCTCCAGTGCCTCACCACCCTCAATTGTAAAGAATTTATTCCTTACATCCAATATCATTCTACTCTCTTTCAGTTTAAAACCATTGCCCCATGTCCTGTCACTACAGGCTCTGGTAAAAAGTCTCCATCTTTCTTATAAGCCCCTTTTATATATATTGAAAGGCCACGATAAGGTCTCCCCAAAGCCTTCTCTCCTCCAGGCTGAACAACCTCAACTCTCTCTCTGCCCTTCTTCACAGGAGAGGTGTTCCAGCTCTCTGATAATTTTGTCACCCTGCTCTGGACCTGCTCTAACAGGTCCATGTCTTTCATCCACCCCAGAGCTGGATGCAGTACTCCAGGTGGGGTGTCACCAGAACACAGTAGAGGGGGAGAATCACTTCCCTCAACCTGCTGGCCACACTTCTTTTTATACAGCCCAGGAAACTATTTGCAGGCACATTCACATACACATTGCAGGCTCATATCCAGTTTTTCATCCACCAGTATCCCCAAGTTCTTCTCCGCAGGGCTGTTCTCAATCTATTAATCCCTTAGTCTGTATTGTTACTGGGGATTGCCCTAACGCAGGTGCAGGACCTTGCACTTGACCTTGTTGAACTTCATGAGGTTCACAGGGGCCCACTTCTCAAGCTTGCCAAGGTCTGGATGACATCCCGTCCCTCAAGAGTATCAACTTTCCGCTTGGTACCATCTGCAAACTTGCTGAGGATGCACTCAATTCCACTATCTGTGTCATTGATGAAGATATTAAATAGTATTGGTCCAAGTATGGACCCCTGAGGGACACTGCTTGTATGGTTTCCACTTGGACATTGAGCTTTTTGACTGTAATTCTTTGGATGCAGCCACCCAGCCAATTCCTTACCTATCTAACAGTCCATCAGTCAAACCCATCTCTCTCCATTTTAGCAGCAAGAATGTTGTGGGGGACCATATCAAAGGCCTTACAGAAATCCAGGTAGATTACATCAGTAGCTTTTCTCTTGTACACTGATGCCGTCACTCTGTTGTAGAAGGCCACTAGATTAGCCAGGCACGATCTGCCCTTGGTGAAGCCATGTTGGCTGCCTCTAATCACCTCCCTGTCTTTCATATGTTTTGACATAACTTCCAGGAGGATCTGTTCCATGATCTTCAAAGGCACCACCGATGTGAGGCTGACTGGTCAGTAGTTCTCAGGGTCCTCCTTATTACCTTTTATTTCCATCATGGTAATTCTGAACTGTCTCTGCTTTAGTCCCCTACAGCTCTAGACTCTTTCCTTGCCATATGCTAGCTGGCATTACTCTCATTATACAACAAAATTTTCCAGCATTCCTGTGCTGCATGAAATACGCCTATACCCCTCACTTAGCCATTCTCGGTCAAATCTATTGTTTCAGTTTTAGAGATTCCACTTCTACTGATTTCCCCCCGAAGCTCTTCACTTCACTCTTTGCAAAGGAATTTAAAAGCCCTGTAAGACTTGTGCTACTCAGAAACATGAACAAGACTTCTCTGCAGCGAAACCACTGATCAATGCAAAGTACAATGAATGTTCCTTTGCCTCACTGAACCCTGGATGGGAGAGGCAAATCATTTAGCTGTTGAACAGCAGCGATGCTCTAATAGGCTGTTGGTCTATTTGGCTGCTATCAATCATTCACCTGAGGCCGATTGGTTCTGTGATTTGGTTGCCAGTACAAATATTAGGTGCCAGATTCCACTTGAGCCAGTACCAGACGAAGTGATACCAAGAAAAGTCAGAAATTTGATCCTTAGTGACTACAAGTGCTTACATGTTTTTTTCTTTTAAACTCCCAAGCTACTAGGAACTGTATCCTGTTTGGTAATTTGTATTCTGAAAAAAAACAGTGTAATACTTTAGTGGGATTGGCAAAGTAGACTTAATATTTCTTTTTATGTACTTTTTCAAATGTCTATCTTATTTGAGAATTTGAATAAGTATCTCTCTCTTTACTCTGACCAAACATTAACATCTGTGTTAAACAACCATTTCAGGTGTATAGGTACTAACCCTGGAGAACTTGTTGCATCAAGCAGTCAGCTCTTCCACATCATATTTTTAACATACTGTTGAGAGAAGTGTGGAATGGATTTCACTATCCAGTGCAATTCTAATGTTATCCCATTACTACTCAAGTTGCTGCAAAGATACCATAGCCTTACTAGGCTGACTGAAAATACCTCTATTTGTTTTTAATTCTCAACAACACCAAAACTATCAGAAGTTGTATCTTTGTCTTTTGTACATGACTGTCTGAATGGCCAGAATGAACAAAACCTCTGAGGACTCACCTCCAATGACTTGTCCTTATGTAGTAACTTTTGAATAAGCTCCAAAACATTTAGTTTGTTAATCACCAGTGCATCAAACACTGCATTCAAACCCTAGGCAACCAAGAGAAAAATAAAAGCATAAGATAGAGCAGCTAACCACAAATGTTTTTTTTAAATACATCTTAAATTCTACTTCTACCATGAGTTATAGTACATCTTAATACTCATTCCAAACAAGTAGATACATTGGTAGTAATGATCTCAGAATGGTAAATTGAGAACCTGAGCTCAGGTAAGTAGAATATCATGTTACTGTAATGGGGATTCTGCTGCTAAATGAAACAACCCTTTGGGCAATACCATGTACCAGCAAGCTGGACCCCAAATGCATGGCTGCAACAGTATTCTGCTCTCTGTTTTCTTTCCCAAATGTTCCACAGCACAAATGCTGCAGTTAAAAGGTAAGGCTTCTGTCAGTAAGGTGGAGTTTCTTTATGCCTTCTACTTTTTTTTGCTGTGCAGCATAGAATCTTTTGACTGTCAGGTTTCAAAAATTTTTTAAAGGGTTCATAAATTGTAGCAACAAACAAAGGCTCAGAAAGATTTGAAGGAGGTATCAGGCCTGCTTTTCTTGCAATTACATCAATATACACAGTGGAAGTTGCTGAAAAAAAAACAGAAGCTCTATGTGACATCAGCCACAACACATAAAACTAGAGCATATTCAATGCTTTGCAGGATTACATTTGCACGTACAACCCCCAAGCAAGCAACCAAAATACATCCAGGGGTAATTCTGCTGAGGTGACCAGCAAAATCCAGCTTTTAACATTTTCCCTTCAATGCTTCAGCAATCACCAACCACAACAACCCTTGAATACTTAGCCTGTACCCTAACAACTTTGGAAATTGCCTCAATGTTCTAAAGACTAAATGGAAAAAAGACAGTAAAAATAGTTCCAGATGAGACAAAGAGTTAGGACACTGGGAGGCCACAAGTCTCTTTCTAAGAGTCAAAGGGAGAAGACAGAAGGTAGGTTAGAGAGTGGCGTAGTTCCATGTAGAAGGCTTTTTAATGTGTGATTTATCCCTTCATCCCTCCGATCCATGCCCCTCAGCACAACAATAAATATAATCATCCTAGCAATGCAACAGCAAACAAATAAAAAACACAGATCCAGTAACAATTCTGTGTCTGATGGCTCAAATAATTACTTCATACTGCTAAAGGAAATAATCGCACCATGTTTTAAGAGAATTCCTTATGTTTTCCTTACAGACACCTTTGAAAAATATATCACTCTACAAACATTAAAAAAATGATGTCCTAAAGCAAGAGGTTTTCTGTAATTTCTTCTCCCTTTTTTTTCTAGCAAGGACAAGAGGGCCCTTGCCGCAAAGAATTCTTCTGATTCTGTTGCTTTAATTACGTCAGTTAAAGCTACAAATTTGATTTATTTATAAAGATATATGGCTTTATAAAAGGTAAAAATCACAGATTTAGCATTTCAGGTGGCTGACTTGGTCACCCAAACCAGAATGTCTTCACTGAAGTAAAACGTCTTCTCTGCTTTTTAAAGCAAGAGCACAGTGAACATGAACAGTAACTGTATCTGTTTGCATAGACAGATCCTTAAATAAGGGACAGAAGGATGAGATTCAGTATTAGAAATGCATAAACAATGGCCCTACTTCTAATTACACTGTTCACAAAAGCAAGAGGGTGGAGCTTTTAAAAATGCTCTCCACCAGTTATGTCTTTGTTCGTAAGCCTTCAACATGAAGTTTGTAGGCCTGCTATCTCAACAATTACATTCAAAACCAAGACCAACAAACATGATACACATTGAAACTAACACTGTATATCTTTTAAATTTTGCGAGGTATTAGCAGATATATGCAACCCACTTACGAAACATAAAATGAAGAATTCCAACTGATTGGCAGGGATACAATCAAGACAGATCTACCAGAATATTGCTTTTTGTCAACATTAACTAGGAAAAGAACAAGAAGGTGTGCATGCAATTAGCTGTGGAAAAGACTCATCTCTGTAGGTTTTACAACAGCACCTGACAGATGCTCAAGTCAAAATTCAGTCAACAAGAGGATTCTTACCAGTATTGTAATTCCTTGTTCTTTGCACAGCATGGCTATTGCACCCAGGATAACACTCACCAGCACCCAGAATATAGAAAAATTATGTCCTTCCTTATCTGTCAAAATAAAGCGTGACATAACATTAGGTTTATACATTTAAAGGTAAAGTTAGAAACGTAAATGAAAAGTAGAATTTAAAAAAACATACAGCACTTAATCTCACTATCTTTTCTATCAGTCAGGATCTGAATACACAGACTTAAAAACCATGGTGCACCTCCTGCAATATGCTGGCATTTGTCCCTTTATTGCAGTAATTTTCTATTCTCAGAGACATTAGAAATCTCCCTGTTTGCAAGACATTTTAGCCAGACTAATTAGAATGGCAGAAGCTTCACATAGTTTCCACACTTCATCATCTGCAAAGGTTAATTCCCAATATTTAGACACATTTGTCATCCTTAGCTAGCGCTCTATCATTACTGGCCACTGTCTTCCAAGCTCCCACAAGAACAAGAAATTCTTTCTAATGGTTACACATGAAGTGTCACACACCCAAACTGTTTTAACTGCAGTCTAATCTACAAAGGCACAATGAGCTGCTTCTCCAGGGCTGCTGCATTTAGCAAGTACCTCATGTCCTTTCATTAGCACTGCAATGGAATGCCATGGAGCTCAAAAATTTCAGCATCTGAGCAGAGAAGCAGTTAGTTCTTGCACTCAGGAAGCAGTTTTACAGCAGGGTGAGGAACTCTGGGGTTAAGAGATCAAGAATAACTACAGCTTCTACTCAAAGAAAGAGTCTTTAAAGACTGCACCATGTAGCTGATTTTGGGTACTACAAGCAGGCATTTCTGAGATTAATATAACAATAAGCCCTGCTTCAGCCAAGGTACTATCACACACACAGTACATGGGTACTTCACATAAAAACATATCTGTCACAACCTCTACTCCACAGGTGCAAGCAACAGAGGGAAGCACTCAGCTCATTCAGAGGCAGTTTCTTGATTCAAGCAACATGGGCTCTACAGGCATCACAAGAATCAATCTTTGACTTGGCACGTGAAAAAACAAAAGTTGAACTCTACATTCATTGACTGAATCCCTTTCTTACTTTCCTTGATCTCTAGAACAGCTCTTCCCCTACTGCTAATGCAGGTTTGACCCTCAGTACTTAAACAGAACTACAATAATGGACTATGGAAAGGGTAAATGGCAGAATTAAGATGAATTTCAACAGAAGTAAGCACCTACACCTAAGCTGGTATACTAGGCTTCCTTTTTAACTGGTTGAGAGAAGAGGACTTTAATCCTTTAGGGATTAAGCCACCTAATCAAATGCAGTTGTCCACCTTTCAGAGAAGTAGCTCGCTCTCTTCACTGATTGTAGAGGGAAACCAGTATACTAGCTCAGATGTTGTTGGGTCAGGTACAAACTGTAACTAGTGTGAAAAGGATCTGCTGACGTTGGCCTCCTTTCTCATTTTGAAGCAGAATACTTCTTTTGTGGCAGAGAACAGTTTTCGTAAAAATATGTGGAAGAACATGTTTTGAAGTTGCTTCTGGCGCTCCTTTCTTACCTAAGACTTAAACCTTCAACAGAGCGAACATTAAGATGTTTGAGATTCATCATTGCAATACCTAGTAGGCATTTGTTCCTTCTCCCTCCACTCCAAATTATATCTTCACAGATGAGGTAAGACTTAACATCAGAGTGCAGATGTTACAAAGTTAAAAGAAAGTCTTCTGAAGGAAAAAGTCATACACATCTCAACAATACCAAAACAAACCATGGAAATACAAAATACATAATGACTAAACTAAAGAAACATTGCAGCTAAAAAAAAAAAAATGCAATGAGGAAACTCCAGCTCACATCAAATATGCAAAAGAACAACTGAGGGTTGCAATTCATAGAGGAAAGGGCTTCAAAATTCATTCTAAGAATATTGCTAAGAATAAAAGTAATATGTCCTACATGCATCCCTTGAAGGAGCTCTTCAACTCTTCAGACTCTGCAATGCAACACTGTTCAGCCAGTTCTTGAAATTCACTTTTGGCTTGTTTTTTGTTTCTTTTTTTTTTAAATGTAGAAATAAACTGGATGAGAGGATGAGAAGACGGAAGGCAAAGTAATTGACTGTGTTCACAAAATGACAATCAGTCATTCTTAGTAAGTGTAAAAGAGAGATCAGTGAACAAATGGACTTCACTGAGTTCACTGAAGTACACTTTCTTCAGCTGAGAGATTTCTTACTCCCAGAATCAAATCCTGGCGGAAAGAAGTCAGGACAGCTAAGCACTTCTCAGAGAAGCAGTATTCAGTACACAAATACAAATTATCTTAACATGGAAGACAGTGGGAAGCATATATAGTAAGAGACCAGCTGGTGATTCACAAATGCTTTGATGATTTGAAACATAGGAAGTAATAGGAAAAAAGGAACTAGGTCAAATTATCAAGGACAAGTACAACAGCAGCACACTCATACAGAAACAAACTCAGAAAGGTCACATCACAACATGAGAAAAGGTAGGTATTGAAAGAACAAACCCTACAATTCCATAGATATATTAGTATGAAGAGCATCAAGGAAGGAGTTATTCCAACATTCAGTGGGAAGGAAAATGGACAATGCCAAGAAAGCAGAAGTGTTCTGTGACTTTTTGCTTCATTTTTTTCACAAAGAGGTCAGCTGCAATCAGATGGCAAGCACACCACGAGTAGAAAGGAAGCAAGAACAAAAGCAAAAACAGTGAACGACAAGACACAGAATTTGTAGAAGTTAATCTGTTTTAAATTACAATTGATTAAATTTACTCTAACAGGTCCTATGCAACCCAGAGTAATCTCAACTGTTACCTGTAAGACATCATGAAAAACACATGAGAATCTGGAAGCTTGAAATAAAACAGTACCTACATGCCTACTTTTAAAGAGGAAAAGAGGTATGAAAGGATAAGCTAAAGAAACAAAGCTAAGCTGATCGGTCAAAATTATCCAAAAAAAACCCCACTTAAGACAAAATATTTTCCAGGTGACCCTCTAAAACATGAAAGGATATGATTAATTGTTTGCCAAAGACATATTTTAGCTATTTATATCAAACTAAGTATAACTTCTCACTTGGATAGGAAAAAAAAGGGCCTTCTCAATGAAAGCCAACCTGTAAACAGCCTATACCTTGACTTCGTGAAGGCATGGGAATACCACAGGAGACAGTGTGAAATACACCAGAAAATATATGGGCTACATGTAATTATCACAGAATGGGAACAAATAACAGCTAGAAAACTACACTAAGAGTCTAGCTTATTGTGAAAAATGTAAAGATAACATTCTGGATTGGGGCTTTCCTTTGTCTGGTGCTAACAGATAATTTTAAAAATTTGGATGATAGAATAAGGAGTATGCTAATTAAGTCCAGAGGTGCTGCCAGGCTGCAATGACCAGCAAGCATATTAAGGAGAAGTCAGAATTCCATTGACAAACTGGAGAAATGGTCTAGCAACAAAACCAATAACTGAATGCCATTCAACAGGCACACATTTAAAGTTGTGCAGAAACAGACCTGTCTTCTTGTGAACATCCCAAATCTGAGATGCCAGGAATGTCTCAGCACATCAAGTGTAGCCAAGCTTAAGTATGGACTCTCAAAGGTGGTAAAAGCACCCAGCAAAAGAGCAAATAACAAGGGACCCATGAGGATCTTATGGGGGACTGCGTCAAAGGCCTGGACTTCAGTAAGGCCTTTGACACAGTCTCCCATAAGATCCTCACAGAGAAGCTGTTGATGTACAGGCTGGATGTGCAGAGAGGTGGTTTGAAAACTGGCTGAATGGCCAGGCCCAGATGGTAGAGATCAGGGGCACAAATTCTAATTGGAGGCCAGTAATGACTGGAGTACCCCAGGGGTCAATATTTGGTCCAGTCCTGTTCAACAACTTAATTAATGGCTTGGATGGTGGGGCAGAGTGCACCATCATCCAGTTTGTGGATGACACCAAACGGGGAGGAGTGGCTGATGTGCCAGAGGGTCATGCTGCCATCCAGAGGGACCTAAACAGGCAGGAGGAGTGGGCTGTAGGAAGCTCATGCAGTTCAACAAGGGAAAGTGCAAAGCCTTGCAGCTGGAGAGGAACAACCCCAGGCACAGTACATGCTGGGGGCCACCTAGCCGGAAAGCAGCTTGGCAGGAAAGCACCTGAGAGTCCTGGTGGACACCAAGTTGAACACGAGCCAGCAATGTGCCCTTGCAGCAAAGAGGGCTAATGGTGTCCTGGGCTGCATTAGGTAAAGTATTACCAGGAGGCCAAGGGAAAGGATCCTTCCCCTCTACTAAGCACAGGTGAGGCCACACCTGGAGCACTGTGTCCAGTTCTGGGCTCCTCTATACAACAGAGACATAGACATACTGGAAAGAGTCCAGTAAAGGGACACAAAAATGATGAGGGGACTGGAGCGTGTCTCCTGTGAGGAAAGGCTGAGAGAGCTGGGACTGTTCAGCCTGGAGAAGAGAAGGCTCGGGGGGAATCTCATCAATGTCTATAAATACCTGAAGGGAGGGTGCAAAGAAGAAGGAGACAGGCTTTTTTCAGTGGTGTCCAGTGACAGGACTAGAGGCAATGGGCACAAACTGAGACACGGAAGGTTCCCTCTGAACATCAGGAAACACTTTTTTATTGAGAAGGTCACCAAGCACTGGCATAGGTTGCCCAGAGAGGTGGTGAAGCCTCCATCGTTGGAGATACTAAAAAGTCGTCTGGATACAGGCCTGGACACTGGCCCTATGTGACCCTGCTTGAGCAGGTCAGCTCAGGTGACCCCCAGAGGTCCCTTCTTTTCAGCTGCATATGCGGAAGAAGTTCTTCACTTTGAGGGTGACAGAGCACTGGAACAGGCTTGCCAGGGGGGTTGTCGAGTTGCCTTCTCTGGAGATATTCAAAGCCCACCTGGACTATGTCCTGTGCAACCTGCTCTAGGTGAGCCTGCTTTAGCAGGGGGGTTGGACTGGATGATCTCTGGAGGACCCTTCCAACCCTTGCCATTCTGTGATTCTGTGATTCTAACCTTAACCATTCCATGATTCTGTGATCAAGATCTCCTCCCAGA